ATTACCTGATTTATCTTCTTCATTAATAGAAGGACTTTCAGCTAGTACATCAGTATTAATTTGATTTTCTGAAAATATAAAATATTATTTTTCATGTAATATATAAATATTAAATAATATTAATAAGTTTTTACATTAATTTGAATGGATAATAATTATTTAATAATATTACCTGATTTATCTTCTTCATTAATATAAGGACCATCAGCTTGTACATCACTATTAATTTGGTTTTCTGAAAATATAAAACATAAATATATAATGAACATTATTGTATATATATGTATGTATAATATTTAATAATATTAATTATCATTTAAAAAAGTTACCAGAGTTATCTTTATCATCTTCATAAGGACTAGTGTCTTGAACATTTATATTAGAAGTAGATTGCTGATTAGAATCAATAGTTTCTTTAAAATAATAAATATATATGTATTATTTTATTAATTTTTACAGAGGTTTTTACATTTATCTCAGTTTAATCACATGTAACTTCCAAACGCTTAAAAGCTCATAATTATAATGAGATAAAAATATTAATCAATACCTACCTACTTAAAATAAATACGGTTAACTTCTTGTTTTGTTATGGAGCATACTATACACATATAGTTATTAGTTATCTTAATATCTTACAATATACTTACGGAATACAAAATTTAGTTTTTGTTGACTTGGTGACAAACCACAAGCAATCAAATCATTTCTTCTCTTTGTTGAACGTTTCGAAGCCCCAGATTGAAATTTACGTTTCTCCATATTTTAATAGTTTAAAAATCAAACAATAGAAACAAAGTATAATGAGGTAAACAAGAACACCTATTTCACAAATCGAGTTTATAACAAATTAATAATGATATTTTCAGTGTATATTCGTATAATTGTGTACTGATTGAAGTATTCATCAAGCCAATGAGAACTCAGGTTTACAGTTCTAAAAATAAATACCTCTGAAATCCCAATTGATATAATCATATTAACGCCGATAAGACGATAACACAAAAGTTGAGACGTCTCGAACATGTTTTGTCCGTCTAAACTACTACACTGATTTATGTTTGATTATTTTTATTTTATAAATTAACATTAATTGTACATAAATGCACATTACAAATACAGTTCATATTACGTTTTATAATTATAATTTTTCCATTAGGTAGGGCCCCGTATTGCCAGTCTGTTGTATTGGCCAGTCCGACACTGGTTGGTGGTTGTGTGGTTGACACTCACAAAACGTCGGCTAAGACTTAATACCTCGTAAGTCAAAAACATTCATTTTTCAGTAGACACAAAAGTGTTGATAAAATCAATTTTTGTAGTTAGTTTAGCCTATGTTTGAAATAATTTGTTTAGACAATGTTTCCATAAGTATATAATGTAGTTTTAATTATAATTTCTTTTTAAAATGTTTTTTTTAGACTTACGAGGTATTGCATTAAGTATATTGAAAATGGATATTGACGTACGAGCTATTATTACTTTATTGTTTTCTAGGTGATTGATTTAATTACATTGTTAAATAAAAATTTTTGAATCAGGGGTTTTTATTTATTAAATCTTTTAATACTTCACTACTTCAGCCTTTTGAATTTGTTATTAAAACATATATTTTTTTTATTTTTAGAACTTTCAGCATAAACTATTATAGGCTAAAACATATTTATAGGTAACAATCAATGTATTAAAAAGTAAACAATATTTTAAAACATAAATAAAATTTTAAAGTAACATTCAGACCTTGAATTATAATTATAATAATATAATAACCATACATTATTTTAAAACATAACTAAAAATGTATAGTAACAATCAAAATATTAAAAAGTTAACATTATTCAATTTTATAACAGAACTAAAATTGTATAACATTCAGACCATGAATTATAATTATCATCAATAAAAATATTTAAAAAAATAAATAGTTTTAAAGCCTTGTTTTTATTTGTATAGCATTAAAAAATAGACATTATATTATTATTAATTACAATAGTGTAGTTAAATTAGTTTTGTTATTTAATCATATTTAATATGATTATAAAACTCATGACAATCATTAGGAATTACTTTTTTCAATTGCTGTAAATGTTCCCACTTACTTTTGGTAATTTTCAATTCTTCTGCATGAAGCTGACCATAAATAACAGGTGATGCTATTTTACACATTTTAGATTCTGAGTGGAGCGATGAATGTATTGGTTTTACAATGATGTGTGTTTTTTTTTTGTGTCCGTCATCACGTTTTAGAACAGTAAAAGTGCTTCGATTTTCTTCAACAGTAGCTTTTCTGATATTAAAGTGAATCTAGTTGGTACTTTGGGGGGTCAAAAGTAAAAATTTCACAGTAGTTTTCACAAGCGCCGGGAAAAACAACGGGCATTTTTACGCAAAATCAGTTTTCCAAAAATTCGATTTTGGTTTTTGGTGTAACTCTAAAACAAATGAATGTATATACATGAAATTTTCACTGGTTGTTTATATTTGCATTTTCTATACACGATAACATTTTCAAAATATTTTGATTTATTTTGAACTGTTTAGGGACATTTTCATTTTCCATTTTTTTTTAGTTTTTTTTCTAAAAATATCAATAAAATTTTATTTGTTGGTTGCGAAAGCTTGAAAATTTAATAGAAGGCTCGTAATATATTGTTTCAAAGGCAGATGAAAAATATTAAAAATCCTTAGTCACAATTTTTTTTTTATAAGCATTTAAAGTTCAAAAATTGTAAAAATATGGAAAAATCACGAAAATTAGCGAATTATTTTGAGTTAAGAATTCGTAAAATGTAATACAAGATTACTCATAAGTTTGTCTACCTTTATCAATAAAAAAATCTCTACCGGAAAGTCAAATTAAATTTTTATGAGCGTTTGAAATTCAAATTTTTACAACATTGGATGTTCACTCGATTTCTCATGTAGCGATTTCCTTATTTTGTTGTAATTCAAAAACGAATAACTGTAGATACATGAAAATTTCACTGAATGTTTATATTAGCATTTCCTATACACCATACAATTTTGAAAATATTTTGATTCTTTTTGAGCTGTTTACGGACATTTTCAATTTTTTTAGTTTTTTTCTCTATAAATATCAATAAAGTTTTATCTGTTGGGCCAAAAAGTGTAAAAATGTAATACAAGGCTCCTGATATATTGTTACAATATCAGTTGAAAAATATTAAAAATACATAGTCACAGTTTTTTTTATAAGCATTTAAAGATCAAATTTTGACAAAATTTATCAAAATCTCGAAAATTATCAATCATTGTAATTAATAAATTATAAAATGTTCAGTTTTTATAGCTAAGGATTGCAAATTCAACACAAAGGTTCTCGTAAATAGTTCATACTATAACCAAAATATCTAAAAAATATATGAACACAGTTATTTTTTACAGACATTTTAAATTCAAATTTGGACGAAATTACATATTAAAAAACCTAGAATAACTATTTTAGTTATTTTGTTGTGATTGAATAATATTATTCGTGGGTACTTGAAACTTCTAAAGTCAGTGGCGTATTTGAGAGTTCATGTAGGGGGGGGCGAATTTACAAAAAAGTACCCAACTACTCACACAAACTTACCAAGACATAATGAATTTTATATTGCACCTGTATAACCTATAATGTAATAAGTTAAACAAATATGATAAAAAAAGCAATATATTTATAAAACAAAATCTATATTTCTATTTTTTTTATTAGCAAATCTATTGACTATTTATAACACCATCTATTGATATAGTTATAGTATGATGTATGTTTAGCAAAGCCAAACCAGTCAAGCGTTCTTGCCCCATTTTGGATCTTAACCATGTTTTCAATCTAACAAAAAAAGCAACAAAAGTAAGCAAAGATAAAATATTTTATAAAAGCTTGCTATTTTGTTATTCTAATAATAAACACATGCACCAAACCTTCTAAGCGTAGAAAAGCTTCGTTCTGCGGATGCTACACTAATAGGCAAACAAGCAAATATACTAAGTAATTTATGCACAGTTGGATAAATGATATAATTACAATTTTCTATTGATGACAAAGCATCTTGACAAACGTCATGACCTTAAACAAAATTATAAAACAATTAATAAATAAAATTTTAAGAAAAGTATACTTACAACAATTATTTACCCAGATTTTATTCGTTGCCACTTAGTTTTCCAAATCTCTAGTTCTGTTTGTAGCTGCATTTGATCAATAGAGTCTTCCTCATTAAATAAAAATAATTCTGTGGCAGCTTCTGTTATTTTTTTAAAATCTTCATTAGAAATGACAGTGATGTAGCGTGGAATTAACAAACATAAATCTAATAACATCTTATTTTGTTTTCTTATAAATCTTGATCTTAAATCTTCTAGGATATTGTCCAGGAATGGTATAAATATTGATACTCTATAATATTCTTCTATATTATTTACTGGATGATTAGAGCGTTTTGTTTGATATTTTGATAATCTAGGGGTTTTAACTTCAATATCCATTTAGTTCATTAACAACACACACTCTTGATATATATTTCCAAATATTTGTTGACAATTGGTACGTTTATTTTCTAAACTAAATATTATATCATCAATACAGTTTTTAGCATTTAATATATTATCATTGTTCATACCTTGGAGAATACGACTAACAGGTGCTGTCACGCATAAAATATTTGCTAAAGTATGAATTGAAATTATGAAGTCACAACTACATAAAGCTATTAATAAAGTTCTAGCCTTAGACGATGAATCAGATTCTTGCCATTCAGAAATTTTTGTTAAGCTTTTTATTATATATGGTATAGATGTTTTGAATACCATAACACTATCATGGCGTTCAGTCCAACGGGTCTCACATAAGCTTATTAAACGTGGCTGACCATTCAAAATTGTTTTCAAAACAAAATTTCTTTTTGATGAGCAATTAAAGAACTGTAATATTTCTTTCATTAGTCCGACACTGTTTCTAATAGATTGAACTGTAGATGACTTAGATATAGATAAATTCAGACCGTGGTTTGAACAAGGGCTATGGATAGCATTGTTGGCATATGACTGAATTTTTTTACTGCGCCTCGCACTTCTGATACCATTACCGAACAGCCGTCAGTTCCAACTCCAACACAATATTGTAGGTCAAGGCCATATTTTTTTAATAAAGAAATTACTGTTTCGCCCAAAATGTCACCATTTAATTTTGGTTCAAAATTGATATCTTTTTCTTTAATACTATCATTTTCATCCTCATCATCTCCAATTAAAGTACATTTTTTATTATATGCATATTGCATAAGCATGGCAATCAATAAAAGAAATAAAATTTTCTTTCCCAACCCCTTTAGATACATATCGGAGTACCAAACTCATTTGTGATGTATGACTGATGTCAGTGGTCTCATCAAAAATAATACTATAATATTTTGATATTTTTACTTCCTCTAAAATGTTTTCTATAATTATTGATTTGCAGCAATCAATGAGTTCATTTTGAATGACAGGACTTATATAGGTTGCTTTAGAGTGTGTTGTCTTCAAATGATTTTCTAAAACTAAATCCCCAGCCTTTATTCTGTAGTTGAGAAGTTCACGAAAATTTCCATTATTTACAATAGAATTACCTTCATTGTAATTTTCAAAAAAGTCTCCATGGTCTCGATGACCCCGTAATGGAATATTTTGACGACCTAAGAATATGATAGACTCTATTATGGGTTTTAAACGTTTTCGATTTTCTGTTATTTGCTTCATTCTTTCAATGTTTATTAAATTTATTACTTCTTTTTGAGGATTATTAAACGTTTTTATAAAATCATCAGCAACTTGAACACAATTTATGTGATAAATATGTTTCCTGTGTACCTACTTCAAGATCTCCATCTTTTCCTAAGAGTTTAGAGTACTTTTGCAATGGTTTAGAAACAAATTTACTTAATGTAACCGTTTTGTATCTCCCTCCTTTATCACCGAATAAAACACAAAATTTACAATACAGTCCTGACATTGTTTTAGAAAAAGTTAACCATTTATATTTTTCAAAATAACTTTTGTTTAGGTATCTTTTTTCTTCTTTACCTTTTTTCATATGGACAGAAAAAGGAAGAACAAAATCGTTTTGGGGCAAATTATCCATGGTTATTAATGTTGCACGATCATGGTCAGAACAAATTTTATTAGAGTCTTTTACAAAATATGTGATATCTAGTTCATAGGAGGGACTATCAATGTCATTAATATTAACTAAACTTACTAAACTATTTGATGTAGATGAACCAAAAGATGTAGACGGAGTAACAATTGTCTCAATTTTTTTTTTTTTTTTGTACTATCTGTATTATCATGCAGACTTCTTTGCGCTTTAACCACTGGTTCATTAAATTAGATATATCGCACTGAGAATTGAGACAGCAAAACTTAACAATGAATGACTAATTAATTATTATAACACTATAAAACATAATATGAAGAAATGCAAGTCGCAACCACTATATAAAAAAATAGCCGTTTATGTACAATCATGCTGATAGCTGGAGTCAGTTATCATAGATAATAACAGGTGATCGACCACTTTGATACCCCGTCAACTAGGTTACCGGGGACTAATGACCCATGGGAATCTAGTTTGCCAGTGATCTACATGACGACATATGTACCACAAAGAAAAATGTATGTACATTTGTACCACGGTTATCTAGATAACCGCTATTTTTACCAATAATTTGTTATCATCAATACAATTTTTCGGAATTTTTGTTTTTTAATGAAATACTCAAATACCCTATAACCATTAGTTATATAAAATTTTCCTGGTCTAAAAATTCTCGGGGGGGATTGCCCCCATCCCCCCCTCAAATACGCCACTGTCTAAAGTGTACTATTATATATCTATGATAGTATCACGGTTTTTGTTGATGTATAACGCGTTACCAGTACCTAATGGATATTGTGATATGATTAATTTGGAATTTATTATATTTACTTATTATAGGTCAATTTTTGTTTAATACCATAGATATGTATATAATATGTCTTATACATAGACTGACATACCGTCTCCGCTCAGAATCGTTTTTCTTATACAATGGTATTATATCATTGAATTCAAATTTAATATCATCCATAATACAGTGACCCACTTGTAACCTACTGTACAGCAGAGCGACACCTACTTGCCCACCTTTTTTTTCTTTTCTTTTGAGAAAATCTGAGATCAGAGTATTCATCATCAAAATTAATTTTAAATCAATAGTGATATTTGAATTACCTATATCTAAGTGACTTTATATTTGTAACAGTTGGATCTCCAGCTGATTTTCCAGGTCTTAATGAGTCATATCTATTTAAATCAATTTGATATCGTTTAAAAAATGAAGTATCACACCATTTTACATTATAAGGAAATGGTTTTTTCCTAGCACTTTGTGTAATTTTTACATAATCTGAAGGTAAATAAATATCTGCATTTTTCAACTTGCGTTCAATATTAGAATGAACTGAGTCACAATCCATTTGGGTTTCCCCTTTGGTTAAATATTTTTGTTCAATAACAACTTTATTATTTATGGCAAACTCTAACAGTGCATTAGACAGTACATTATTCCTATTCTGGTAGCAGCAGCCATCACTCCAAAGTATTATATTTAGATTTGGATTTTTGTTATGGGCTTCTGTAATTTGATCTATAATACAACTCACAAATGATGATGCTGAAAGGTCACTTTGGGTCTCATCCCACCAATAGCAAGTGGATTCATGTGTTGCCAAATTATATGTGGTAAAATTATGTACACATAGTTTACTTTTATAATATAGAGCACTTGCTTTAAGATATGGGCAGACTTTAACTGCTTGCAGGTCCATTGTAAACACCAGTATTTCATTAAGTAAAGCTTTTTCTTTGTCCATACATTTTTCTTCTCTACTTCGATTTTTATCTTCAATGTGGTCTTTCCATTCTTTTTCACTAATATTATTGGTTTGATAACCACAAGAAGTGTCACACTGGTCTTTTTTGGGGCTAAATAGAGATATATTATTTTCTTCAACAATGTCATAAAAGGTGTTTATTGAAACATTATTATTCTCTTTTCCTTTATTATTACACATCTCAATATACATGAGTTATAACTGGGATTTTGATTGTATGTATGGCTCAAGATAAAGTTTAGAAGTTGATGTCCTACCAGTTGGTCATCTGGGGGGGAAGTATCTTTTTGCACCCACAGACAGACAACCACAACAGTGAAAAATATTATATTATATTTTTATTATTTTTCTTTTTATTTCCAACAATTTATACTGATATAATGTAATTTTGATAATAAATATTAAATAATAACCATGGATCAGTTCAAAATTGTATATCTGATTACTCAATTAAATAATGCAGTAAGCTAATTCGTCACTAGATAGCGTTATGGTTCAAAGGAGTTCACTGTCTTCATGATTATAATCATGACTAAATAAACAGGCATGATCACCAAAAAACCTATTTTGCCTATCACTGCGCATTTTCCCCAGACTTGGCAGAAACAGTAAAATTCCTATGTAATTGTAGTGGGAATACAATTTTTTCTATGAGTTTTCTATGATATGCGTTTTTCTTCCAAGTCTGGGGGAAGTATAAATTATGAGTGAAATAATCTAGTGATCATGCCTGTTTATTTAGTCATGATTATAATATTATCATAGCGAAACCGCCAAAACGGTTAATAACTTATCACTTTAATTCTGTATTTTCAGTTTTGTCTCAGTTTTGATTTTTAAATAAATTATAAAAGTTTTGACTACGACTACCTCTACCTAAAGTGGCTATAACCTATTAAAATTATAGATAATAAACAAGTCAATGAAGGCGAAAGAAAAGCCTACTTTAAACCTAATCGTACTAAGGTTACTGTTATGGATTTCTTAAAAAAAAAACCAGAAGATATTATGAGTAAGTTAAGTTTCATCAAATTATTTGTATGTAGTCTCATAATATACTTACTTTAAACTTTTAATATTTAATTTGTCTATTTTTTAACTTTAGTTGAAGACAAAAATGATAATAATTTCGGAATTATAAATATTAATAATAGCGTGGGCACTTCTCTGACTACAACAGAAACCTGTCTTAATTTGACTGTAGAAGGTATTCAAATTAATGTTTAATTTTAAGATACAGTTAAATGTTCAATGTTGCCTATAAATAATGTCATAATGTATTGTAAATAAATATAATAGTGGCTGTGTGTTCAGTCTATTTTCACATAATCTTATTTGTGTTACTAATCTATTGATAGTTATTATTAATATTGTGTTTTTGATAATAGTTAAAAATGTTTTTAATGTGTCATATTGCATGTGATGTTTTTTATGTACAAATTATAATGTAATTTGAAATAGGTGTGTAGTCATTAAGCATGTCATATATTACTTGGTTGCTTTTGAAAAATAATATCTTTTATATATTATATCATATTATAATAATGTAGCTTGTCGTAATTATGTGAAATTAACTGTTCCAGATCATTTTCGCATAAATGTATTTTTTGGAATTATAGATACAGTAATTATGTGCATGAACAGTAAATTTAAAGAAAACGATTTAAGTTTGTTGAATTCTATGAATAATGTTTTATTTAATGAAAATCCTAGTAATCAGTCAATAGAGGAAGTTTGTAATACATACAAAGTAGAATCAAATGATTTATCAAGTGAGATCAAAATAATAAATAGATTATTTATAAATCATGAATGTGATACAATTATACAAAAGATAAATTATATTAAATCTAATGATATTCAGACAGGATTTCCAACTTATACAAATATATTAAAGATTTTTTTAACCATTCCTACAAATACTGCATCTAATGAACGCAGTTTCTCAGCTCTACGGTGATTAAAAACATACTTAAGAGTCACAATGAACCAAGAACGATTGAGCAGTTTAGCAATCTTATATATACAAAAATAATTCCCTATAGATTTTGAAAATATAATCGACAAATTTGATGCTGAGGCTTCAATAAGAGGTCGCCGTTTGACACTGAAGTACACAAATACCTAGTAATTAAATGTTACAGACAGTCAATTATTTTTTATTATTATTTATGTTAAAAAAATAGTTGCTTTGTTTTTAATATTTTTTAAATATTTTTGAAATACAGAGATAGTTATTGATAAAATAATCTGATTTACTACTTTTGTTGTAGCAATAGTTATATATTAGGGAGTGTGGGGCAACTCCCCTTACGGATTTGTGAATTTTATTACCACAAAAATTTGCACCCCCATGAGTTTCTACCAAGTGCCGCTTATGTGTCCTACAATAATGAGAAGGCATTTTTGGAATTTGTTCAAGAAATTTATTGACAAATTTTCTATTTTTTTATGTGGACTATCACTTAAACATCTTACTTTTGGTGTATTTTGACTTAACTCACATTGTTCTTTTGTTGTGCACCTATTATGAACTTGTGACTCACCCAATGCTGGGGTTTTTAAAAACATTGTTTTACATACATTTAAGAGTTCTCCATTAACTTTTAAAAAATAGGAAAAAGAAATATTTCTTCTTGGCACTGTTGAATCAACTTTTCGCTGTTTAACACTAGTTTTTTTACTAAGGAAGTAACATAAATCTTTTTTCTGACCAGCTAAGATTGGACCAAAAATCAGTGAATACCCTCAACCTGTCATCCTCCAGTATTTCATTACACATTCGTTTAATAGACCTTTGACAAGATATTTTGGTACATGTAGGGAGCATAGTTTTAGCTTCTCTATTTGTGTTGTGAGAGATTATCTTTTCTTTATACCGTGTATAGCCTAAATATGATTATCCTTTCATACATAATATTTGATTTGAATTTGTTTTCCATTTGTTTGAAATTTTTTTCTTATTTCTAATTCTTTTTTCATTTATATCACCATTGAGTATATCGATTGAACCATTATTGTCACTCTCAGAATGTAAAAAATCATTGTGTTGATCCATAACATCAGTACTCTGTATAATATTACTTGAACATTTATACAAATTTTCCGTTTCTTCATTACAAAGTAATTTTATATTATTAGGGTCAACTGTAAAATTACAAAATAATTATATAAATTTAATAATGTAATTTAAATGTTTTACAATTGCAAACTTACTTTCATTATGTAAATTATCATCAATATTGATAGAATTCATACTAATACTATTATCTTGGATTATTTCATCCCACTCTGTAAAAAGAAGAAATAATATAAAAAGGTTACTTAGTAACCGTTACTACTGTAGTTAATTATGATACTATTAATTTATGTTAGGACATATTATGTACAATGTACATTAAAATTAAACTATAATGTTTTTGAAACTTACGTTGATCGTCATAATTATCCAATTCTTTTAGCAGAAAATCAATCTCGTTTTCATCCATTATATAACTTAATAGGTAGTTAAAAACAAAGTTATGTAATAAACAAATTAAAATAATATTAAATTAAGTTAAATAGTTAAAATTAGAAAATCGCACTTCAAATATACTGTGTGATACCTATTTCTATCAAAATATTATTGATAACTTAGATTTAATATAAAATTAGTATTATCATTATCATTATTTTATAATTACAACTATTTATTATTTCTATTTATAAATCGAAGGTATTGTGGCCACAGAACCGTTTTAATATAATATTTGTTTGCAGTTACCGCGGTATCAGTGCGCCAGCCAACGTATTTTTTCCAAAGTGGAGATACGATGTATTTCTGACAAAATACTGATAATTGATTTACTCGATATTGCGTCCAAGTTTATATTCTCTTTGGAAATCATGAGCTATACGTGATATTACCATTAACCCTTCGTTAGGCGCGAGGTATATTGTTACTTATTCAGGCGCGTGGTCTATACTTGTAGACCATTTTAATTTATGACCAATTCAATTAATTTTAATTATTTTTGTTTATATTAATAATGTAAATTACTTGTATGCATATAAAGAATCGTACGAGCATTGAAATATCCCAAATAATCCATGAATATTTGAAGAAAATAAAGTTAACTTGTTTATAGTGAAATTATCATAGTTTCTCTCATGACATTTTTATTTTTAGAACTACTTACCCAATTACCTTCCAATAAGTCTGAAAACTATTTATATCTTAAATTGACATGTTTACAAAAGACCTGAAACAAAATTAAAATGTATTTTTATATTTTCTTACCAGTTATCGTCGAACAAATATATGTATTATAACTGTGATTTTATTATTGGAAATTATAGTGTATATTAGTTTTGGTGCTTATTTTTCTTGGTAATCATTTCCTCTTGTTAACTAAATTCCATAATATTGATATAAAGCATAATTAACGAATTTTACAGTACATATGAAACAGTTAGTTGGTATATTAATAATAAGAACATATTTATACAAATACTATTTGTTGGAATTATAAACAAAACACCCTAAATAATGTAGTGTATAAGTAATATATTCACACTGTAGTTCAGCAGACGCTGACTATACATTTTTATAATACTACAGCATAAATGTCTTGTGTAGTGTAGCCGGGTATACATATTACATACCTAGTTAGTCGTTGATTTATATTACGCCTCGTAAGTCGTAACACTATTGTACATCGTATCATTATACTTATTATTATATTATATATATATCCGATTTTATTATTATTTACCTTTAACTTCTGTATATGATGTGTACTTCAACAGGTTATGGGCCCAGTAGTAAGGTCTTTATAATAAAGTTGTGAATAGTTATTAAAATAATAATTGATTAACGAATTGCGTGTTTTTGTGTACAGACAGTGTACATCAATAATAATTCGCGAAGTAAGTGCAGTGTAGTGTGAGTGCGTTTCTTAGTGTGCAGATAGTGTACATTTACGTTTTTTAAATATGGAGAATGAACAATATAAAATCAACAAACTCAAAGATGCATCAAATTGGGACATGTGGAAATTTCAAATGAAGGTTATCATGAATGCAGCTGAAATATTTGATGTAGTAACAGGAAAATCAAAGAAACCAATTTTAGCAAAAATCGGAAATGAAACTGAAGATGAAGCGAGAAAAAGGCATAGCGTTGATTTTTCAATATGGAAAAGGGCAGATAATAAGGCTCAAAAATGTATCGTCACATCGTTAGATGAACCACCTCTACAATACATTATGAACTGTGACACAGAAAATGGTATGTGGAACAAATTACTTAGTGTGTACGAACAGATGTCGGACATAACATAACAATAGTACAACAAAAGTTCTATCGTTATACCATGGATCCAAAAGACAATATAGCAGGTCATATTTCAAAATTAGAAAATCTAAGCAGACAACTAAAATAATTGGAAAACCTATCTCAGAATCAATGTTGATTACAAAAACTTTGATGACATTACCTGATTGCTATAGGCACTTCTACAGTGCATGGGACTCAATGAATAGTGCAAATAGAACACTAGAACAGTTAACCACTCGATTGATGGTGGAAGAAACACGACAAGTGCAAGGACAGGAGGTCCGTGATGATGGTGCTGAAAGTAGTGCTTTGACTGCAACCAAAGGCAAGTATAATAAAAGTCAAAAATACGTGAACAAAAATGATAATACAAAACCAGGAAAATTCAATCACTGTAAAAAACCAGGACATTGGAAAAGGGACTGCAGGATATTCAAAAAGGAACAAGAAGAAAAGAAATCAACTTCCGGTTTGCGCTTATTGGTGTACAAAGAAAAAATGAATAAATCGACGACTCAGACAAATGGTATGTAGACTCAGGTGCGAGCGACCACATGACAAATCGAAAAGAGTGGTTCGTCGATTATAAACATTTTGATGTGCATTCGCTTGTACGTATTGGAGATGGTAAGCACATTATGGCAGTCGGAAAAGGTAACATAAATATTCATACTTATGTTGACAATAAGTGGATAAAAGGCTACTTAGAAAATGTTTTATATGTACCTGATCTAAAGGTAAATTTATTTTCTTGTGGGGCATGCCTTGATAAAGGAATTACAATGGTGGCAGACAGTAAAGGTTGCTCATTTAAAATTAATAATCGTGTAATTGCAGTCGGTGTTCGTGAGAATAAATTGTTTACAATGCTAATCAAAACAGATATTTCACTGGAAATTGGACACTGTGCTAACGTTGCAGTTAAGAAATTAACATTAGAACACTGGCACAAAATACTATGTCATCAGAATGTCAAACATGTTCGTGAGTATTTAAAACACAATGAAATACAATTTACAGATATACAAGGACAGTTATTCTGTGAACCATGCATCTATGGCAAGCAGCATAAGGAGACGTTCACTCAGAGCGAAACAATAACTACTGAACCAGGGCAAATAATACACAGCGACGTATGTGGATCCATGGAACAGAATTCACTAGGAGGTAAAAGATATTTCATTATCTTTAAAGATGATTATTCTAAATATACTTAGTTTATGAAATATAAATCTGAGGTTAAGGAAAAACTTAATTGTTTTCTGAGTATGGTTAAAACTCAAACAAAAAACTTTATTAAAACTATTAGAAGCGACTGTGGATTAGAGTATAAGAATTCAGAAGTTCAATCAATTCTAAATCATCTGGGTATAAAGCATGAAACAAGTGTACCTTATACTCCTGAACAAAATGGAAAAGCTGAACGTTCAATGAGGACTATTTGTGAGGCAGCCAGAACAATGATATATGCCAAGAATTTTCCAAAATCACTGTGGGCAGAAGCAGTCAATACAGTAGTGTTCTTATTAAATTATACTGGTAATTCAGGGAAAGTATGTAAAACTCCATACGAGTTATGGTTTGATAAACTTCCTGAAATAGAAAAGTATAAGCTTAAATGTATAAGCTGTTTTGGCATCAAATAACGCAAACATTTTTAATCCATACTTGGCCGGTTTGCTAGGAATGTATTGTTTGAATGAACAACGACATCGAAACGCTAATAATTGTTCATCAACCGTTAGATATTCACTTGCTATAAAATTATTTAGAAAATTCGCAATAAAGTTGAGAGAATCCGGAGCTTTTTAGGGCTCCGTAAACCACCCACGATGTAAGGGGAACACTTACACCGTGACCTATGAGCCGCACCGCGTGATGACCCGAGGGCCAAGTCGGTGGAGCTCATAGGCTTTGTTACACGCAACTACAAATGAATGTAGAGGATTTATTTAAGGGGAGAAAGATAATATTTGAAGATGATAATTTTGGGCTATTAACAAGATATATTAACTGGCATTACAAGTTAAGGTTACAATTTGACATTACAAATAATAATAATAACATGACAATTGAAATCGGATATAAAAATTTGGCACATGGCAATTACAAAATAAGAATATGGTGGCACTTGGCAGATACAATAATGAATATAAAAGGCCCATGGTAAAAAAAAAGACGCTCGGCCCACGGGGATCGACACATCACATTACTCGTGGTGGTCTCCACAGGGTTACCGGGCGCAGTTTAAATGATTTGGGGGGGGGAAGGGTCGAAACGTCTGTAAGTGTGGTCTGGGGCCCCCTACTGAAACGCGCACAGGGACAGCTGGTTTTTTACGCCAGCCGTATGTGAACGCGTAGGAGGTTACCCGCTAGGCCCCAATGGCAACCACACTTTGGCGTTCTGCAACGCACATTTTACAAGTATCGTGCTTCTAAGTGACAAGACAAAAAAAGGGGGGAACAGGGGAATTATATTTACGACAGCCGAGTATGATTTTGACGATGATGATGTGCTGGTTTGACGGCAGTCACGTGGTTGTAGCATGGCCCGACCTCGGGCCCGTCGTAGAAAACTTAGCCCATCATGGCGTGTTGATAGTGAGCCAGAAAAAGGTATGTACTTTGGACAAGTAACGTATACTCAAAGTATGGCGTGATACACAGCGGGTTCTAGTCGGTCGTTGTTCACAAGTAGTGACGTCGTACCATGTGGAGCGGTAGTCAACCGTGGTCCGTGATTCAAGACGAGAAAAAAGTGAGTGAGTTGTGTTGAGCGGAGACCCGGCGACATCGGTGGTCTGTTGCCGGCGGCGGAGCTTTTTATCGTTGGTGGGGTAGGTCAGTGTCGTCGTTTTGTGGGATGATACAGTATATTCGGGGAGTACAGTATTGCCTGCGGGCCGTACCGGCGGACGCGACAAAAGCGCTGGAGGTGACGTGCGGCGTACATGTACTTCCCTGTCAAACTCCCACATTTTTTGGAAAATTTGTTTCCAAATAAATATCTGATCTGTGGTAGATCTATTTTGTCTAAACCCTGTTTGATAATCTCCTAAAATATCTTCTGCCCACTTCTTAATTCTGTCTAATATACATTTGGATAGCACTTTATAGGTAACATTTAATAGAGCGATACCTCTATAATTATAGACTTACTGCTAACAACTGCTTATCTCCCTTTTTGTGTATAGGATATATCAGCGCTGTTTGCCATTCCTCCGGAATCACTTCTTTTTCCCAAACTTCTTTTATTAGCCCGGATACATATTCAAGCAAGCCAATTCCCATACTTTTAAGTAACTCTCCGGGGATACCATCTTCTCCGGGTGCCTTATGGTTCTTTAAGTTTCTTATTTGTTCTTGAATTTCCTCCTTACTCGGTGCTAGGCAGATTGTATTATTAGTTTCCATATTCTCAAAGTGGAATAAACTATCTGGTGTATTACAGTTCAATAGCTGCTTGAAATAGTTCGCCCATTTATTTGCTATCTCTTCTTTAGATGTGATAAGCGTTCCATCATCATTTTTGAGAAATTTCTTCGGCTGCTTATATTTCTTACTTAAGAAGTTAACCTTTTTATATAGGTCTCTTGTATTGTGACTAGTAAAATTCTGTTCTGCCTCCTTAAGTATGTTTTGTAAATATTTTCTTTTTTCACATCTTAATATCTTACTCGCTTCCCGTTGTCTCATTTTGAATCTTTCTAACTTCCCCACACTATTAGTGTCGGACAGCCATATATTTCTAGCATACCTTCTTCTTTCTATGGCTTCTTCGAAAATATCATTAAACCAGGTTTTTTTCTTAGTTTTTTGTTTCCCTATTGTTTTTTCTGCTTCTTCTTGAATAAGTTGTTTTACCGTTTTCCACCTTTGTTCCACTTCTCTGCCTGACTCACTTGCAGTCATCCTTCTTAACTTTTCCTCTATACCTTTTTGAAAATTCTCAACTACCACTGGATAGTTAAGGTTCGCGATGTCAAACCGTCCCGTAGCTCCTCCTCTCCTTATTTCTTGTCTTATTTTTAACTTCACTCGTAGTCTACCTGCCACAAGAAAGTGATCCGAATCGCTGTCGGCTCCACGTACGGTTTTTACATCCATAATACTGTTATTAAATCTTTCATTCACCAGTACATGGTCTATTTGATTTACATGTCGTCCATCTGGTGACCTCCATGTACCTTTGTGTATGTTCTTATGAGGGAACATGGTACTTTTAACCCTTAGATTTCTTCCCGTTGCCAAGTCAATAAGTCTGCACCCATTATCATTCGATAACTGGTGTAGACTATGCCCTCCTATTATCGGCTTAAAACATTCTTCACGTCCAATTTTTGAGTTAAAATCTCCTAATATGATTTGTACACAGCCTCTTGGTATCTCACACAGTATATTGTCTAACAACGAGTAGAAATCATCTTTTTCATTATCTTCTTTGTCCTCTGTAGGAGCATGCACATTTACGAAGACTACTCCAAACCATTTTGTATCCAGTGTCAAGATCGTTAATCTAGGGTTTATAATTTTAAAACTTTTTACAGCTGTTAGTAGCTTGTTGTTTACCGCGAATCCACTTCCAGCTTGTCTTCTTCCGTCACAAGCACCAAACAACAGCGTTGTATTACTTATTTGCATTGAACCCGTATCTTGCCACCTCATTTCCTGTAGTAACACTACTCCTAACTTGTATCTTTCTATCTCTTTAGCTACTGTTCCTACTGCTCCAGGTTTGAATAAAGTGCGTACATTCCAGGTTCCAAAACGTAATGCCGATTTCCAATTTTCCAGTCTAAAGTCCTTTGATCCACAATTCCGAGGCAAATTTATGTTTGATTCCTGAACAAGGGATTTTTACAGGATAGGTTGTTAGCCTATCGCCAACTCCATTATACCCATGGAGAGGGTAGCTCGGGGCCCCAGGTTCGCTAAACCCGTAGTACTAATTGCTTAGTACCCCCCTGATTGGTTAATATTATTATATTAATGAAATATTAAATATAAATATTTGTATATTATTACTCTTATTAATGAAATATACATTATCCATTAAAAATATATTATATCGTTAATTACAGAATTTTCAAAGCAACCGCCAATTCTTCGGTCGAAATAATAAAATTATATACAATATTTTTTTTACTGTACTTTTTGGTAACACTGGTGGCACTTTAGGCTAAAATACCGTGTCTACCATAAGAGTCCATGTAAATTTTTGGAGAGTGTCCATTCTGATTTCATCTATTCAGTGGTCTGACAGTCCGAACATACAAGCCCTCCCCTCCCGTAAGCTGTGCGTCCAGAAGCAGCGGCGGATTCTGAATTCAGCCCGAGAGAATTTCGTTTCACCGGCCCAAAACTCCATAAATACAAAAAATTTAGTGAAAATGTAGATTGAAACAACATAGTATAATATTTATTGTATTAACTTATAATAACAATCGCCTTTGAAATGGCATAATACTTTTAAATTCTTCAATAATTTCAGAAGCTTCAACATTGGCCGTTAATTCCTGTTCGACATAAATAACATAAGTGATTCCAACCGATCTTGTTTCGTAGTTGACATTAACTTTGTTTTCACGTGCGTCAATTTAGAAAACGCTCTTTCACATGAGCAACTTGTCACGGGGATGACAGAAAATGTTTGAATTGCTGCATTAAAAGACGTGTACATTTTATATTTTTCATTTTCTTGCATCCACTGGATCCATCCACTTAACGTTGTTGCTGAATTTCCAGTAAGTACAGTCTGATCTGCTTTTAACAATCTTCTTTCTGCCATTAACTCATCTTGAGAAATTTTGAATTTTTCTTCTAACACAGCTGCTTCTTCTTTATTTAATTTTAGATTTAAGAGATTTCCCACAGCATTTATAATTTTGATTGTTTCCTGCTGAAGTCTTAAATCTAATGATGCTACCATATTATCTAACATTTGATAAAAACACAAACTTCGTATTTCTTCTTCCTTAGTTTCATAATAATGTTGTGTTTTGGAAAATTCATCGAAGCGACTTGATATCTGATTTCTTAAATTTAAAAAAGCTGCTCGAAGAGACTTTATGCTGGCCATAGCATTAATCAGATTAATATCGGGACTTTGTAGCAATTTACTTACTTTAACAATTAATTGAAGTATTGGGTGCATCATTGTTAACCCGAATATAAAATTAAAAGATTTTACTTGATGTAATAAACCAATTTCTTTAACTTTAACATCACTTTGTTTAGTTGTTTCAATAATTTCAGTAAGAGCTCTAAGGATGGCTGAATAATTAATTTTTATCACGGCAACAGCTTCCGCGAGACAAGCCCACCTAGTAGTGGAAAGAGACTTTAATGTTTTCAATGTTGAGTCAATTTCCTTAGATATTTTTTCAAAAGTTGCGTGCCGTGAACAACTCCCTTCAATAAATGTGTAAATAAATTGTACAATCCCAAAAAAAATCGAAAATCAATCTATTTCCTTTGTCTAGTGTACAAGCATCGACTAAAACTAGGTTCAAGCAATGTGCGTAACAATGTACATACACAATATTGCTGTTTAATTCTTTACACCTCATCTGAACTCCTGATACACTTCCTGACATGGCTGCCGCGCCACCAAAGCAAACTGATAACACATTCTTCCAATATACTTTCAATACGGAGAGAACAACTTTTAACTCGTTGAAAATAGCTTGGGCGTTTACTGATGTAAGTCTGCGAATAGCTACTAAATGTTCTACTGGAGAATTAAGCTTATCATCAAAAAATATCAAAACAATTGCCATTTGTTCATGGTGTCCACAATCACTTGTTTCGTTTGCCATTATTGAAACAAGTTTATTCTGAACGGAATGTGATATTTTTCGTAAAATGATGTTGCTTATGTGGATAATAATGTCGTTTTGGATTTTTCCACAAGTGTATAAAGCATTTTGGGATCCATTTGTTAGGTGATATTTTAAGGTAGGGTCATATTTTGACACTAAATCTACTAATCTAAAACAGTCCTCGTGAAATGCTGATTTTACTCTCGTCACGGCCTCTAAATGGTCTACCTCCTTTTGCTAGACAAATAACAATATCAATTAACCTTTCCATTATCTGACGATTTTTTATTTTAACTTGATTTTGCTTTGAAATTAACACTTCCTTTTGCTCATCTAACAAAATATCAACCGATTTTTCTTTTGTATAACTATTCCAAGAAGAAACGCTATGTTGATGGCCTTTAGATTTTTCGTGGTTACGGAAACATTCGTTTGCTCTATGCCAATTTTTAAATCCCTTTTTATAAAAGCAAAATCAATATGACCTTTTGTTGCTGGGTCGTTTAAACAAAACACACGACAGTAAAAACAAAATGCAGAATCAAGAACATTACTAAATTCTAACCACGAATACTTATTGTTCCATTCGATTTGGAAACTTCTATATTTTGAGCCTATTAATGTCCTAGGAAAATCAAATTTTGGTTGGTAGGGACCTTTGTCAATTCTATCTTTTTTTTCTAATCTCGAAACATTTATCTCATTACAGGGTCATCTGCATCACCGAAAATCTGTTTGTTAAGAACTGCATTATTTGATTCATTATTTTGTAAAACAATGTTTGGAGTATTTTTTAGATCTTCATTTTTGTTGCACATAAATGTAAATTTATCCATTTTCTATCTTCAACAGCAAATTTTAATAAAAACTATTTTGAACTGATTTGGAGGAAAACGACTACGACATACCTACAACGCAAAATACACCTTAATAATTGATTTTTAATTTAAATTGTATAATCAAGTATCAATGTATAGTTTGTGACACTTCTTGGGTAAATATTCAGGGGAGACTGAAAATAATGTAAAGACGAGGTGCCACTGCGTATGTGTAATGTGTATAATACTATAATGTTTATGTCTATAATTGAGATAGTTATATAAAATAGTACTTACATTTAATATTTAAAAATCCATCGTCCGAGGTTCTTGTACACAAAGTTAACAATAATATTAAAATGTTATGTGTATGTGAGTTGCTTGAATCACGACGTCACGTTAAATGAAATACCAATAGGCAATAACTATTAAAGTATTATTTGTTAATCGTCGACCGTCGTTATCAGCGCGGTGTCGGTTTCCGAGAAAAAGCAATATTTATAATCTAAAAATAGTTACCAGTCTATTGGTTACCACTATTTTCTATTAGTCTAAATTTTCGTGTCGAAGACAATAACATTAAATCTAATTTAACAAGTACGATATAGTGATTTAAAATCTAAACATCCAGTCTTCGTTAGTAATGTAGAATAACATAATGTATAAAAATATTCTTTATAATAATTAATTGTTATTAATTCATTTTTTTTTTCTTTGTACATTAGGGTGTGCCTTGGCACACCCGGCACACTCTGTAGATCCGCCTATGTCTGCATATCATACAAATTAAAAAATTGAATAAGGTAGAACTTGGCCAAAACTTAATATGATAGTTTTTTATTTAAGAAATCACTACTATTTTTTATAATGTCAATAATTTCTTCGGAGTCTATACTATGTAATATACTTTTTTCCACATTCATAAGCATAAATGCTTCTAGCTTTTCTTCGCTCAATGAATTTCTTAATTGTGTTTTGATGATCTTTAGCTTGGAGAACGACCTTTCACATGCTACCTGGCAAGTCAAAATAAGTAATTAAAATATACCGTATAATTATGTACTAAAATAAGAATTATAAAATTTGAAATGTATGAAATGTATTACCACATCAACAGTATTAAATAAAGTATCATCACTACCTACTGCAATCATTATCAAAATTATTATCTCACAAATTATTGTTGTCAACATCTTCAACTATAACAATATCTTTGTCATCATCAACATCAGCATTAACCAAAGCACAAACTTTCATAATATTCTCCTACACATAAATAAAAAATATATATATTTAGTTTGCAAGCACGTTTAGCAATTATTATGTAACAGTATGGACATAAAAGAAATATTTTTTAAAAGCATTATGATTTATTTATTTATAGATATTTATTTAAGAATTAAACTTAAATTTTACCTTTTCTAGTATATTTAATGAATTATCAACATCTTTGCAATTGACAACTTCATCAAAGTTTGAATTATTACATAATATTTGATTACTCTAAAATCATTTATAAAAATGTAAAGAATTACATATGTTCTGATAAATTTTTAAGCTAATAGGTGGTTTGTTAATTAAATTTTAATCTTACCACATCAACAGTATTAAAGAAAGTATCATCACTACTTCAATCATTGACAGCATTAGAAATTGTAGTATCACTAGTAGTAGTACAATTATTACTCTAAAACAATTAAATTAATTCAGTAAGTAATCAGTATTCCTATTTATAAATTATTAGGTAGGTAGGTACATAGGTAGGTACATAGTTAATACAGATGCAATGATTTATCATTTTTTATTGAACAAAAAAATAAAACCTAACATTATAAATTATTAGGTACTTCTCTAACTATAGGCACTCACTTTTTGAATTGGTGGGATTGAAAGTAATTCTGAGATCGGTCTACATATTATGTTCGCTTTTGAAAATAAAAGTTTTTTATTTTTTACCCTAACTTTTTGGGCTCGTTTATTTTCCGACATGATTACTTAAACAAATAACACTTAAAAAAAAAAACGTTTACACATTACACCAGTCACCAATTACAAAATTACACTTCTTCGTGTGTCGTGTGTCGTGTGTCGTGTGTCTAGATTTTTAAGCGATGCCAAAATCGGCAAAATCTATTTAAACAAAAATATTAAGTATAGCCATCTTTGAATTTTGATCAATGTTATCAAAACGGTAAGTTATCATAATGTTATCACAATTTATATTTATGTCTACAAGTTACAACAGTATGAATACAACCGTGGTCCAACGCTTGATATCTGAATTTTGAATGATCGTTTGTATTTCGGTTAGATATTTCCAGTTACTGAGATAATACCGGGCATATCATAAAAATGAACTAGTTGTTTTTATTTGTAGATAATAATATAATATACATAATATTATAACTTATAACATATGATGTACAAAACGTCATGTAGGTAAAATAATATTTCTAAAAATAAAAAAGAACATATTTTAGTATAAATAAATTATAAAATCAGTTTTAGGATGATAGGCTCGTTAGCTATGACCGGCTCCGGCAACCGGCCCACCGGGAAACTTCCCGGCCACCGGTGGCACAATCCGCCACTGCCCAGAAGAAGGCGAGAGAACTGGACCATGGACTGGAAGTTGGCCTAGCCCTAGACACTGGATAGACGTTGGGGCAGGTCGATGATCTGGATCAGAGTGGTTTCAGGTGTTTTTTTTAATAATTTACAAACATAGACATAAATATAAATTTCAACACATACTAAAACATTATTACACAATACAAAGTTAATTGACCAGCAAAATTCACAGGGCAGATCAACCTCTTAATTCAACCAAAACAAAATTTATTTTTTTTATTTTTTCTACAATAGCAGGTGTGATTAACATTGTCTTTAGACCAGTCGTTCCCTGGGGTACAGTATTCTGTGTGAACGCTCCCCCCTACTCGGCAGTGGGTAACAGCACTATCTTAACCACTGGTCGTGTCAACGTGCGGCAAGCGGACAACGCGTACCTGTCCGTCAGATCCTGGTAATAACTCAATGACTCAGCCCATACTCCATAACAGAGCGTGGGCTCTGGTTATCAACAATGACTACCATGTCATCAACTTTGAACAAAATGCCTGGTGACATTGGTTCATGAGTTTCCATCGATTTAACAACGTATGACTCATGGCAGGGCTTGACCGAGGGGGTACTGCTAGGAGTGGTTGCCCTATTAGAAAGTTCCCCGGTCACTCGAGGACACGGGGGTCAGTGGACGCAGGTGTCAACGGCCGAGAATTTAGAACAGTTTCTACGCAACATAGGATCGTTGTAAGCTCCTCGTACGTAAATATATGATTCCCAATGACCCGAATTAATAACCGTTTCGTCGACCGTACGGCCGCCTCCCACAAGCCACCAAAGTGCGGCTCGCTCGGTGTGTTAAAACGCCTAGTACAGAGAGCACGTGCGTTACCTACAGCGGCCTGACCTTCAGGGCTAAGAATTAGTGAACGTACCTGTTTGTCCACCCAGACGAAATTCGTACCACAATCCGAGTATATATCACTCGGTAGACCACGACGGGCGACGAAGCGGTCGAATGCTGCCAGGAACGCGTCTGTAGATAAGTCAGATACCACTTCCAGGTGCACAGCCTTTACAGCAAAACATACAAATACCGCAATGTAAATTTTATATTCACGGGACTTCCGGAGTCAATGTTCGCGCATTTGTAGTGGCCCCGAGTAATCAACGCCTACACACATAAACGTCCGTTGGGATCGGAAGCTCGTGGCCGGCAGGTCAGCCATAAGGGGAGTTGACGGTTTTGCGTCAAACCTAAACGTACGTTTTCTCTGCAGCGTTTTTTCCCGTTTAAATTGCTGACAGTTTTATTTTTTTTGTCTTTGATAAAAAAAATCAAATACAAAAGACACCAACAACGCCAGCGTTTCCCAACTTTTTTGCAATGGCGACCCATAAATTTAATCTTTATGGGGTACGCGACCCCTAGCTAAAAAAAAAAAAAAAAAGTAAACTGTAAATAAATAAGATTTTTATTAAAATACAACATACTGAACAATAATAACTTATAATAAATAAATAAAAAAAAAATACAAAAAATTAGTATAATAGAATATTTATTGCTGAATTTAGTGTGAACTTTGATTCTGGATGCTGTTGCATAAAATTTCC